ATTAGTTCCTACTAAGAAAGAAAAAATATTTATGTAACATTATAGATAAAAAAAGTCTGTATAAATCACACTTAGAATTAAGAAAAAAATTACAATAATGTAGTCATCCATAATGCTACTACAAGTATATTTGACACAAAAAACATTTACAATGATATAGTCATTCACAATGCCACAAATAAAATTTACAATGATATAGTGGGCAAAATCTCAATTCAATTGAAATGATCACAAATAGTCGTACATCTCAATTACAAATATGCAAGATAATATAATAAAAAATGCAAGTTCCAAACATGGCTACAACTCAATTATCAAGAACATACATTTTTTGCATTAAAAATTTAATAATAAAATTGAAAAATACAAGATAATATAGTTATCATACATGCCACGATTTTTTTACAATGACATTCAATTTAATTCCTCATGATAATACAGTTTAACAACATGTATTTTTTGCATTAAAAATTTAAAAAATTAAAAATACATTTTTAATGCAAAACTACATTAAAAATATAATACAATTTAACAACATGTATTTGTTAATGTATTTTTTTGGATTAACAACAAATTCAAAAATACAGTTTTGCATTAAAAATATAAACATGTATTTTTTTGCATAAATAATCTATCAACATGCAATTTTTTGAACTAAAAATTAAACAATAAAAATTAAATATATTATTTAATTCCTCATGATAATAAAAAATTGGTCACAATTTTTCGAAAAATCACGATTTTTCAAAAAAATTGATCATGAATTAAAAAAAAAGAAAAAACACAGTTCTTCACAGACCCACCTAACATCAGTCATTCCAACTAAAAAATCAGCCTCAAATCAAATAAATTGCATCAAATTGAATACATGTTTTGATAAACAACACTATAAGGAATCAAATCCCTATAATATTAACACATTATTATCAAAATATTGAATAAAATCAATTGAATTGAGGAAAAAAAAAAAAATAGCAGTTCTTCACAGACATCAGTCATTCAATCTCAAAAATCAAGGTCAAATTGAATAAATCAGATCAAATTGAATACATGTCATGATAAACAACACTATAGCGAATCAAAACCCTATAAATTTGACAGATTATTTGCAAAATATTGAGTAAAATTTTTAGAATGGTGGAAAAAAAAAAAAATTGCAGTCCATTTTTTCTTCACAAACATCAATCTTTTTTTCTCAAAAATTGAGCTCAAATTGAATAAATAATATCAAATTGACTACATGTGATGATAAACAACACTATAACGAATCAAAACCCTATAAATTTAACACATTATTGGTAAAATATTGAGTGAAATTGATAGAATGGCGGAAAAAAAAAAAAAAATGCAGTCCATTTTTCTTCACAAACATCAGTCTTTTTT